AGAGAAGTTGATAAAAATTTATATAAGAGATATACATGTATTGTATATATGTTATTATAATATTATAGTCAAAGGCAAGAAACTTGAAAAAGGTACATATATGCATATCAAAATATACTCAATTAAGGTAGATAACCGAGGAACTAGAAATTGATCTAAGTATGTCAGGGTCTTCAATCCTCATTAGTTATGAGCCAATAAATTGATTATCAAAAGATAGAGACTAAAAATTTTAACATTTAATTTTACAGATTTTATGAGTTCAAGTCTTTTTACATTAAGATGAGGACATACCAGGGGAAAATGAATTTCATTCTAAATATAACGTATTGCACTGAATTGATGTCTAATTTAAATAAAATAAATCACATAGTTATAGGATATCTTGCAGGCTCTTCCCTAAATAATAAATCTTATGAATGTTGCTTCAAAGGACAGTCACTATATTTGGTAATACTTGTCCGCTATACAATGCAAATTATGATAACGATATCTTTAATCATGTTCTTTGCTTGGAGAACATATACAGACATATAAGCATTTTGTTAATTCAAAATTTTAACAAAAAAAAAAAAAAAAAAAAAAAAAAAAAATCGAGTGCACGTCTGCACATACTCTAACTTTTAAAATTAATTGTAGATTTATAAAAAGAATGAAATAATTTGCATTTTGTCCTCTTTCTTTTTAAAGATAACACACAAGCTCATTAGTTAATGCTGTCACAGACACAAAATATTCCCCCAATCTATTATGATTTATTTATATAGTAAATTAGATTAATGTTATAATTTATACAATCATATACTTCTCATAAAGTTGCTCTTTGAGTTCATCAAAAAAAGCATATACATAAATATAACACTCTAATAACTGTAAATTTCTTTTTGTTTATTCTGCGAAAAAACATTGCAATTACCGACAGCATTATAAAAATTTTAGATTTTTATTTATAAAAATTATTTTGTTTAATAATCATTATCGGAAAATAAAAATAATGCACGTAGCTACGGTTTTCAAAGAGTGTCCCGAGTCTTAAGAAAAGCACACACTCAGAAAAAGAGGAAAGCATTGTCTAGACATGCACTACGGGCATGCAATTAGTGCTATAACAATTTGAATTATTTTATTTAAATCAGACATCAATGCAATGCAGTAGGTTACATTAATAAATCTGATGTTACAAGTCGTTTGCATTTTGCTGAATTTCCTCTTTGATAAAATCTAGTCGTCTACGCGAAATCTTCATATATGTTATATTGCACTACTGTCTGCGATATTTCATTTTAGCGGCTTTAATTTTTACACATTATTTTAGTTCGACAGTTAGGAATTCAACTTAGATATATCAAAATGTATAAGTCGTCTAAAACATATCAGAAAAGTATTATTCATCAGAGATTGTTGTCATAATTATATCGCCAAACCTTGAAGTAATTGTATTTGACAACATTTTTATATCATGATATCGCGTACTTATACAACAACACGAGGCGGTTATACGTTTCCGTACATATCATGTCAAATCAAGATAACTTTCTGGTTTGTCGACAAACACAGATTTTATATCTTGCCAAGTCAAGATGAGCTAGCTATCTTGACATGACGAGATAACTTTTAAAGGCGATACACGATAAATTATCTCGTTTTGTCGAGATAGCTATCGCAAAAATACGATAGCTTATCTTGACTGTACAAGATAAAAGTCGGAATTGGACGACAATCCAGAAAGTTGTCATGACTTTCATTTTAAAGATAACACACAAGCTCATTACTAAGTGCTGTCACAGACACAATTTTCCGCAATGAAGTTTTGATTTATTTGGTAAATTCAGATTTATACGGAAACGTATAACCGCCTCGTGTTGTTGTTTTAGAACGCAATATTACGATATAAAAATGTTGTCCAATACAATTACTTCAAGTTTTGGCGATTTAATTATGACAACAATCTCTGATGAATAGTACTTTTCTGACATGTTTTACACGACTTATACACTTTGATTTATCCAAGTTGAATTCTTAAATGTCGCACATAAAATAATGTGAAAACATTAGGCCGCTAAAATTAAATATCGCATACATTTGTGCAATATAACATATATGAAGACTTCGCTTAGACGACTCAATTGAATCAAAGAGAAAAATTCAGTAAAATTCGTGCGACTTGTAACATCAGATATATACAAGATACAAGGTTTTATCAGTCCGATTTGTACGGAAGCGTCAATGTGTGGCTCTACATTTGTTGTGTTGTAACTTTGTATATTGTCTTATATTGTATCGACTTATCAACATATCAAGTGTTATATCTCCTTATTTATACACATATTTTGTATTGTATAAAGATTTTTTAACATAATTGAAAGCAGCTTCTTGCGTTAAATAGCTTTTATTGCTTTAAGTTTTATCGATTAAAATTATATGTTGATTTTCAGATATCGATCGAAACAAGATATTTAATCATATCGATATAGTATTGTTGATATGATAAAATAAAGATATGGTTTTAGCGATTTTAATTTATGAATATTTGCGATAAAAAAGTCAGAAAAAAGTGTTTTTGAATTAACTTAGCGGGGGCGGGAATTCCAATGAACCTTCACTTCACTCGGGATTCAGTAAAAGCTCATGTAACATGCATTTGCCAGCGTGTACGACTGAATGCTGAATCAAATTAAAAAGTCATTTTTAAGGCCTCGTTTGTTTGGACATTCCGTGTAAAATTTACGATAAAATTTCATAGAACTTCCAGAAGGAAGTGAAAATTTCATTGATGTACCTAAAACAGTTTTAATTTTATGACGCTAGTCCACGAACTTTTTGATAACCCGTCGTATTTGTAATACTTGTCCACTGTTCAATGCAAACTAAGATAACGATATCTTTAATTTGTTCTTAGCTTGGAAAATATATGCAGACATATAAGCATTCAATATTTTCGTCTGATGTTATGCCATGCATATGATATGACCTCAAAATACTGTAAATTCAAAATTTCGAGAAAATTGTACATTTTCTTTGATAATTCTATTGGAAAAAAAATCGAGAGCACGTCTGCACAAACTCTGTATTTAAACATAATGTGAAGATTGATAAAATGAATGAAATAATTAGCATTTTGTCCTCTTTCTTTTTAAAAATAACACACAAGCTCATTAGTTAGTGCTCTCACAGACACAATTTTTTTCCCAATCATATTTTGAATTATTTGATAAATTCAAATTTATGTTATTATTTATATAATCATATGCATAAGCATTTTATGAAGTTATGAGAAAAAAAAAACATTGCAATTACCGAAAGCATGCAATTTTAGATTTGTATTTTTAAGAATAATTTTTTTTTTAATAATCAATTTCGAAGAAGAAAAATCAGGCACGTAGCTACGGTTTCCAAAGAGTGTTCCGAGTCCTATGAAAAGAAAACACTCATTAGAAAAAGTGGAAAGCAATGTCCAAACATGCTCTTCGGGCCTATAAGTAGTGCTATAACAATTTGAATTATTTTATTTAAGTGAGACATCGATGCAATGCAATACATTATATTAATAAATCTGATGTTACAAGTCGTTCGAATTTTACTGAATTTCCTCTTTGATTAAATCTAGTCGTCTACCCGAAGTATCCATATACATGTATGTTATATTGCACTAATGTCTGAAATATTTAATTTTAACGGCCTATAATTTTTACACATTATTTTAGTGCGACATTTAGGAATTCAACTTTGATATATCAAAGTGTATAAGTTGTATAAAACATATCAGAAAAGTACTATTTATCAGAGATTGTTGTCATAATTAAATCGCAAAACCTTGAAGTATTTGTATTTGACAACATTTTTATATTATAATATCGCGGTCTAAAACAACAACACGAGGCGGTTATATGATTCCGTAAGATAGCTATCGCAAAAATACGATAACTTATCTTGACTGTAGAAGATAAAAGTCGGTGTCTGACGACAAACCTGAAAGTTTTCATCACTTTACGAGATAGATATTGACATGATATGTTATGTTGACAAAAACTTATGTGGATGGTATGGTGACATAGTTATGTCATCCACATAATTTTTTGTCAACATAAGCTTTGTCCGAGTTTTTACTTAGTAAAATCGAAAGTAACATTAGCAGATCTTGACCTCGCCATTTTTGTTGTCATTTGCTACCATTTAACTGGTTCTTTTTTATTGATATGGGACCAGCTGACGTGCGATGCATTTCGATTCATTAATAAATATTTATGAGTTTAATTGGGACATTTCTAAGTTTGTCGTAAGTTTAAACAAAATGCTAAGTGTTCCGAATAGGTGTGTATCAGTTTATTAAAAAACGCACTTTTTTTGCAGGGAATCAGTCTGTTTTGCAGGGAATCGGTTTATTCACGGTTATTTTCAGGGAATCAGCAAAATATATCGATTTAATTTTATATAGTGAAAAATCAGTAGAGGTAATATAAAATGTTAAAGGTTCAATGCAGAATTTTCACTAACACAGAATGATACTGTATGCCATACAGTATGTAAACTTGAAGGGCTTCAAATTCAGAACTTTACTTGACACTCTAGTCCATTGAAGAGTGAGGATTCTTTATCTTGCCTATTATCGACTGAAACTACAATGTGTTTACTTTTCTTGAAAAGGTGTAAAACTTTTTTTCTATCAATCTAATATTAGTAACCGCCATATTGGAGCAAAATTAGGAAGTTAGTCTTTGAACATGTAGTACGTTTTATTTCCTGCATCCGTTCCTATAATAAGTCATGTAATGACGAAAACTCACAAATTTCTGTATATTTATTATTTAATTTTTGGTGGAAATAATCAATATGTATATATTAGAAGCACTTAAAGTCAGATATTTCATAAATAAGAATAAAAATCACACCAGATACCCCATACCACCCAATTTATACAATGATAAAATCGACGAGTATTTTTTTTATCTTATTATGCAATCATCACGTCTGATCAAAGTAAGCTTGATATATATCAATCGGCAATCCTCTGCTGACTTTGCTACGCTCTATGAGGTATGAGCCATCCGAGGAGCTCCGAGTGGACATGTATAAGGAAGTTATTTTTAGACGCTATTAATATTTCGTACTCATTTCAATGAAAGCTGTGGTGAGTTTTGCTACGTCATTATTATTTTTTTTTATGCTTTTAGAGAGAGATAATATTAAAATGGACGCCATAGCTAATTAATTAGCCCTTGTAATCATTAGAATTTGCAAAAGTCTTTTAAATGTCATTCCTGAAATAATTTTGATCGAGAACTTACATTGATGAAAAAAAAAACTTATAAAAAGCTCAATGAATTGTTACTTGTTACTGATTCCTAAGATCTTTCTATATTAGAATAAGTTAGAAAACTTTCTTATAGGAAAAAAGCAGAAAGTGTCTCTTATTTATGGTATTAATCTGTATTTAGAAGAAAGAAAAATCATTGTGAATATTAATAAAGGGGAAGTTGTATTAAAATAAGTATTTAACAAACATTCATTATTTGTCATCTTTTATCAATATGATTAACATGCAAAAAGCACAAACGTATTTTACACAAATACTTTAACTTCCTCTATCATTGTTTAAAATTTGTTCTTTTAATCAAACTTCCGCATGTAAAAATTGTGATATGAAGAGGGTTCAAGTTAAATGATACTCATAGCACAAAGTGTCATGTCCTTTTATGAAGTTGAATCTCACACAATCTCACTTTGCAATTAAAACTTCCTGTTGGATTTGATATTTATTATTATCTATCAACTATGAAAAATATATTTAGATTCACGTAATAACCTATAGTACTTAAGTTTCTGAAATTATCAGGTACAATGTATAGTAAACGAACATATATAGATTAGGTAACTCGTTAATTTTTAAATTTAATTATAATTATCCTCTTCAACGTTTTAATATATGCATAATAGTCATAACGAGCACACTTACATAACCAGTATGTATAGGTATTAAACATGAACATTTACAAGTATGTACCTAAATTAAGGGACAACAGGGTTAAACACGTCGGTTCACCTCAAACATTACACTGCAAATACATGTATCATTGATGATGAAAGAAGATGAAAGATAAAGAAAAGCCTATGATAGTTATAAAAATATAATTATATATGAACTACATGTTCATCTAACAATACCGGTCTTGTTAAGTAGCCCCCCCCCCCCCCCCCTAAGGTCTCCCCCCAGAGAACTTACTCTAGTGTGGATCCCCCGGAAACTGGTTCTAGAGAAGGATTTTCCCTACAAAAACTGGCTCTAGAGTAGGATATAGGTTATATAAAGAGTACGATTTCCCCCAGATCAAGCCAATTTTCCCCAATGAAATAATTGCTCCACTTATTTTTTGAGGGGGAGGAGTGTCACATTGCTAAAAGTGTCCCTTCTTCAAAATTATGACTAGATGTATAGAACATACGTATACAAAAATAAACATGGACATTTTAAATTTCATTTTTCTCGCCTTAAGTCACACCATTTTTTAAAATTAAATGAATTGGTGAAACCAGAGGGGGCTATATGTTTCCACTGTGTCTGCCCATCTGTCTGTCTTTTTGTCTATCTGTGTGTCTTAAATGATTTTTCACATTTATTTTTCTAAATGCTTTCTTAAGACATTGTACTGATTTTTGGTTTAGGAGTATATCTTGATGCGTTAAAGTTCAAGTTTCCATTTAGTTTCGCTTCAAATTTTTGTAAAAAATTACGACCTTTTAATTTTTTTTTTCGATTTTCCTCAATGTTTCTCTAAACGTTTGGAGATATTGAGCTTATATTTCAATTTCCAGTTAAATGAATTTTTACGGAATAATGTTATTTCCACTTTTTAGCAAGATAACACCTGCCGGTTTGGGACAATTTTTGCAAATGCAATACACCCAGAATTCTATAAATGTATTGTACAGTGTAATTATAACATGACAAATATGAAAACCCTTATGGACAAATAACACAAACAAACCTTTTTCTTTCACAAGTAAGATGTTTTTGCTAAATTAGATGTTTCTCTCAATTTAGAAATGATATTTATCTTTAGTGAAACAACTTTATGTTTATCCAAGCCAAATAATTTGGCAATATGTTAAAAAATGCAACTTTAGAGTTCAATATGCTTCTTAAAAAGTTTTTAAAATGAATGAAATTTTCCTGCTTTCAATTAACGTTAAGAAAAATCTTACATGGTTAAGTCGGAAAAAACCCACTCATCTACCTTTTAAAAACAGATTGTCGTTTAACATTTTCCCTACGCATATTGTGACTGTGGTTTATGACTCCTTAACGAGGGGGAATCCTACTATGATGAATAAAGAGGGGGAGATCTTACCCTAGACCTTGATCATGTTCTCGAGTAGACGTAATATCCCAGAGTCAAATTTAGTTTTAAAAAAAGCTATAACAGGTGGTGTGAAACACATAAGCTACAACACTAACTAGTGATATGATACATTTGCCAAGAAAATATTTCTACATGTATTGAATTGAAAAGAAGACATATTATTATTGCAAGAAATGACTGCATCTTCTTAATACATTTTAATCATCAATACAGTGAGAAAGTTTGCTCCGTACTTAAAAAATTCATGTTAATATATACTCAATTTATCATAAAATAACCCGTTTTGATTTATCGGCTTTCAAAATATTTCCAACGTATAATAGTATTCTCTTTAGATGTAACAAAAAATATGTCCATTTTTATCCACTTCTGTAAAAAGAACTAGGGCAGCTGCGAGAAATGGGAACCGGCTAAGCTACATCTAAATGTTGTAGATTGGTCTCTAAGATATTTTGCAGGATGTTCACTTAAAAAAAGAGAAAGTATTGAAGATTTTTTACAATGGTTAAAAATGTGTCAAAACCTTTAAATTCAAACAAACACAATCATGTATATAATCTGTGGAAACATTTGTAAAACCTTACTTTGTTTCCAATAAGGGAGACATGTTACAACGCACTTTGAACAATTTCGCACTTTGAAAAAATACTAGTACCGTATAGCCGGTTATTTTGGCGGGGATATAATTTTGGCCTATTTTGGCGATTTATAAAAATTCACCAAAATAAAAACCGCTAAATTTGTAGCCTACACACCTTGCGTTTGTAAATTCCCCATTTTTGAATGGTTACGGCAAATCACCGGTAGAGCTATCACCGGTAAATAAGTCAACAAATAGTTATAAAGAAAGATATAATTATCCATACTGACATTATTTTGATTAAATAAAAATATTTAGTTCTATAAGTTTATCGTTTTTAATTTGGATTTCATCACTGCCAAAACTTTTACTCCAATCGACCCTCAAGTTATAAAGGTGTCATGCTTGCTAAACAATGGGTTCAAATCGTCTGTCATTTATACGGCACACTCATGACCAGTGAAGTTTTTTCAACAATTAATGTTTTAAACTACATGTACTTGTTATAATTAAATAACTGGTATCAATTAATACCTATGTGTGAAAGTAATTGCGCTTGGGATGGTTTGTTTACGTAAACACAGACAGCGCTTGGAATGCATTGTCTGCAAAATGTATATATAAACGGATTTAGCTACGGAAAAAATAAGTTTGTGTCCTACTTTCGTTTTCAATTTAATACAAATATTTTACTTCTTTAGAAATGTTCTTTACATTATTTGTGCAGTTCAAATAAGAGCTACATCTGAATTTCCATATTTGGGGTGTGATTTAACAATAGTATCTGCGTATTTCCGAGGATTTCCCGACACTTTGGCAAGTTTGGGAGGGTGTGCAATCGTAACAAGACCGCATTCTTAACCTGCGACTTAATGGTAATAAATTTGAATTCACCAAAATATTATCCACCAAAATTAATGATATATCTTAACAACCTAAAATCGCCAAATTTGTGTCCCGCCAAAAAAAAACCGGCTATACGGTATTCAAAGTGCGTTAAATTTGGGACCAAATCAACGCACTTTGAAAAAACAAAATTTCTTTTCAAAGTGCTTTGATATCGACCATATTAACGCACTTTGAAAAAAAATATGTATGGCTTGATCAATATTCTTGAAAATCTTAGGTATGATAAATAATTGAACCTGTTTGGATAACTTTTCGGTGATAAGATCATTTCTGGACGAGAAAGAGAGCGATTTTGATTTTTCCATACTTTGAAAATTCTTTCTCTCTTAAATATTTTACTGTACTAATTTTTTTTCTTGTTTGCATGCATCTAATGCAAATTAAAATTTATTGAAAGTTTTCAACGTCACACCAGTTATGCAAATATATTTGGGTGTGGCATAAGCATCAGTATGGGGGGGGGGGGGTGCTAGTCACACAAATGTTTTGAAAGGATATACATAATATAGAAATTAAAAACTGGGCCTTACCTAGGGGGTGTTCCACTTAAAACTTGCTATTTGAGTAAAAAAAAAGGATTGGTCTGAGAGACACATTATTAAAATGTTGATGTACATTCTTGACGCACCTTAATTTTCTTCTTAAAGTACTTCTAGTGTGTCCCAAATTTAACGCAATTTGTAAAAAAAATTCAAACTGCCTTTATTTTGTCCCAATTTTAACGCACTTTGAAGAAAACTTTCAAAGTGCGAAATTTTTCAAAGTGCGTTACCACAGAGGCACAATAACGGTATCACAATCTATTTGTTTCGCTGTATGTCATCTATGCATGTAGGTCTCATATGATCAATTTAGTTGTTTTCAAACCCAATAACAAAGTGTTTTCACTGTATTTTAAATGAGAGTTCTTATTAGAATACTTCGAATCTTTGAGCCATTTTTTTAACATTTGTACGAAAATATTTTTCCCATATATTTTCTCATAAGGATCAAACTCCTTAACCAAATAGTATGGATTTAGATGCTTCAACACCTTTGCAAAAACTCGTTGAGATCATCATAAAGGGCAATTTGAGAGAGAGGGAAGTTAAAGGTGAGATTTTTAGAGATCATTTTTATGACGTTTATATACCCACAATCAATTGAAACGCAATACCCTAATTTTAGGGTTAAAATAATATACGGGATATAACTATGTACCAGAATAGTTAGGACATCTTTAACTTTGCCAAATCAGTTATTACATGTATTTAATAGTTAAATGATTTTCAAACCATAACCGGAAGTTGATTTTTAGCCCTCATAACAGAAAAGAAATTAGTATTTTTAACAAAATTATTGACAATATTTTGGGTTTTTACGGTTTTGTACCTGTTAATAATAGTATTGTACTAAAATTTCGGCAAAAAATCTCCTTTTTTCTTTTCCGAATGTGATGCCTGTATTTCCTCAAAATGACTGTAAGCACGCATTTTCATTGTTAATGCTGAAAATTATCAAAATAAAGGATAAAGAGAGCTATAGATGCAAATAAACACTACATAACGACTTATTGGGCTCATGTGTTTCAAAAGCATGAATGACAGTTCCTTGACCGGAAGTCTAAGGGTTACCACACTACGCAAAATTAGAGAAAATTCGACCTTAGTATCTGAAAAAATGCCCAAGAATATTCATTTTGCACAGATAAAGACATTGATAAACTTAATGCATGGTCGAAATCGGGCTGCGTATGTTGTACATGGCGGAAAAGCACGTTTTTTAAAACTAAATGGTCGGAAAGAGGTTTTTAAAAAGTTATCTATTTAAGAGGGCTAAAATCAACTTTCGGTAATGGAATGAAAATCATTCAACCGTTAAATAATTGATTTGGCAAAATCAAAGATGTCCTAACTATTTTGGTACATAGCTATATAACCCGTATATAATTTTCACCTAAAAATTAGGGTGTTGCGTTTCTATTGATTGTAGATATATTTGTAGCTTTTGATAGATTGGAAAAATCGAACATATAATAACTTCAATATAAATCTAAACGATATGACTCAATACTCTACAAAATTATAGTGAGAGATAAACTCTGGCCATGCGGCATATCGCTGGAAGGTGCAATAATGTCTCTTATAAAGTCAGCTTTCATGAAAACCCACGAGAGGGCACACGATCTCTCATGGTCACAAAATATTCTTTCTTTGTGGAAATATCCTGGACATTCCGCTTCAGATCTTGAAGCCATTGCAAGGACTGGAATAAAAGGTAAAAATAACAACATCCAATGTAAGGCATAAGCGAATTAAACTAAGTTTAGAATGCTTGTAATGAATTTTCATAATCTAAAATGATTGAACATAAGTTAAACAAAATTATGTTGGCATTTAAGTTTTTATATATCTATATGTATGTAACCACTATGTATGCAACAACTTTAATTTTATTCAAAGGGTGACAACAGAGTTGTACATGTTACTGCATGCTAGCTTAAGCTATTTCATTGTCATCTGAAGGATGACAACATTTGTCACCTTGCACGTGAGGGAAACATTACGAATTATCACACATCACGCGACATAATTAGATTGACTGTATAATTCTGAAGAATAATAATGTTAATTCCAATGATCTTCCGCACCTTCTACGAGAAAAAAAATGTTTGTTTTGCCATATCAATATATTCCACAATTAGTTAAAAAGTATAGAAAAAAGGAGATTATTCAAGCTAAAAATCCATTTAAACAATACAAATCATGATCAGGAGTACAATAATCACGAATTTCAAAATAAAAAATCAAAGTACAGGTTGGATCAGATGCCACTGGGGAAACCACAGTTCAACTTAAGACACGATCACTTTAACGAAACTGTCTATGTTCTTGTTTCATCAATTTATTTGTCAATTTTGGGTTCGATATGATTCATTACAGAGTAATTTAAGGAATGTCTGTAATTGTTGGCCAAACTGTTCGATATAACCTGGTTTGGGTCAGTTTACGCTTTAAAATCCGCAAAGCGGATTATTACAAAAAAAAAGCGTTAACCGATCCAAACCAGTTTATACTCGAATAAGGCCATGAATTAGAGTCATTTCTTATAATTTTATTTTAAAATAATTTTAACAAATGTGGATGTAAAATCACATTGCTTTTTATGAGTTCAAATTTACCTCTCAATAATGCTACCGTATTAACGGAAGTGATGGAAAGCGAGTGGAAGTTATATCTGATACATAGAGCTAGCATCCATGATGTTTGTTTACATGTGGTAAGATAGAGCTACTGTTAGAAGTTAAAGATACATTTATTAAATCTGGAATTTTCAATGAATCCCGAGGACGAGAAATGATGGGATTGCACGGATACAGATGATCCAGCTGGTTGTCAAGGGGTGTGTCCCTATACCAAACCAGATTATGCAAAATAATTTCCGTTCCTTTTTGGAAATTAACCAATGAGAGGCTACAATACAAACAAAATTAAATTATAATGTTTTATCAAGAGGCTTTGTTGTTAGTAAACAAATAACGTTTCTTCTGGTTAATTATCCAAATATGAAAAATAGATGTATCACATTATGTCGTATCTTTTGTTTCAAGCTCAACAGGGTTCATCGTGTGGTCATTTATGTGAAATCAATAACTTTCGTGGGGTTTAATTTTGGTTGTTTTCAAGGAATTGGGAGACCAATGACAACATGTTAACTTTCATCTGCAATACTAAAAACTTAATATTTTCTAACCATAAAATCAAATTCCCAGAAACCCCCTTTTTAACCTCGAAAATTTGACCCTACGAAAATGTGGGATTTTATAGTAAAAGCAAATAACCGTTGTTAATTGACAATTCGTCGTCGATATATCTAAATACACGTACAAGTAATAGCTTTTTAAAAAGCTTGCCTGAATAATGCCATCAATATCTATAGAACCCATGACTGTAAAAGCATGATAAGTTATAAACGTTTACATAGGGGAGGGGGGTAAATTATTTCACTAAAGTTATGAAGACGGTGCACAAAACATCTTGCTTTCATTTAAAGCTGTTTGCTACTCATCAGAGTAAAAGAAATCGACGTAAAAAATGGAATGTATAGTACATGTACATGCATGTGGATAACAAGTCATTTGAAATATAAATATGAGTATAGTTATGATACATGTATAACATGATATTAAGGTTTTTAAAAACTAAGAAACAAAACAAGAAATTGGGAATCGTTACGGTTATGACTGGCATTCAGAATATGTTAACTAGTTTGTTGGGTATGCCAAAGCATCAACGGTTGTTGGAAACGTGGGATAAATAAAGCCCGATATGCATGAATAACACAACAAACTAGACTACAGGCCTGTAGTCTGCGCGGATTCAAGATGTTTGTTTTTTTCGTGGAGGGGCCGGGTCCACATCAAAATATTTGTACGAGCAAAAAAGAAATAAACTTTCTCAATCCTGAAATGTGAGGGGGCACTTTCTTAAGTCTATTTTCTGCTTTTGTAGGAGGAAAACCTGGAAAGGGGGGATATGATCATATATACACATATTTGGCCAGTTCTTCGTATCAAGAAGTTTTTTTTTCGTTTCGTTATTATTTCCTTTTAAAATGATGTAACTTCTAACTTCTTTCACAAAATTTTATATTCCAAAGCCTGATCGAGATTTTGATATAAAGAATAGACTTTATTGAATTCATGAAGTTTTCATTTTAATAGAATAGTCCAGGAAAAGGGTACAAAGTGATATTTGGCGCGAAATGATTGTAACGCCCCTTACCTAGAAGACAAATGGACTAATCCAGTAGTACAGAAACCCAGAAAAAAGGTCAAACGTGTATGTCCGTATAGGAACTTGCATGAAATAAATAGCTTCATACAAAAAATAATGGAAATCAACACATCAATATATTGTATAAGCAATATGGTAATTTTTCTGCTAACTGTTGTTGTTGAAACGCAGTTAACAAAATCCGATGATAATCAGCATGCACAAAACTTTGCTGGCTAACTGTGACCTGGGAATTCTAACAGATTACTGGAAATATAGTCTCCAATAACCATAAATATATTGCTAATCATGATCAAAAACTCAAATATTTTTTTTTTAATTTATCAAGTTTATAGTAATTGCGAATACAAATGCTTATTGTTTATAACAAAATAATTTTACAAATAACCAATGACAAGGTAAGTAAATAGTAAGGTAAGTAAGTATTGTAGCATAGTACTCGTGAAGTGTCCTCTTCAATATTGTTAATATTTAAGATATCAGATCCACAAAGGACATGCTTTTCTAACTTTATATATCAATCCTGTATTAAATACTCTAAAACAATTTCAAAGCATTATAGAGTAGAAAATGATTTAGCAGGAGAAATTTTCAAAAATATAATATCCGAGCAGTTATTAATTAATCAAGAAAGTATTGAAGTCTATAGGAACAAGCAATTAAAAAAAAAATAAAAACTTAAATACTATTAATAAACAAATTCTATGGTGGAAAGATGTACATTTGTATATATTTATTAGAATTATGACAAGAAATACTTTTTCACCAGATAGACTTTCAAATAAAATTATTGATTAAAAGGAAAGGAAGATAGCTCTTGAAAGACTGGTCAAGGTTAAATAAAATAGGACAGATCTTACATATTGAGATTAAAACATACATGTTATCATATACAGTTAATTCTCGATAAACCGCCACCTTTTGTAATTTAGAAATCATGGCGGTATAACGAATTTGGCGATGAATTGAATTTCCCATCTTCTGGAAAACAAGAAGTGGAGTTACCGTTCTTAGAAATACCTTTTAGCGTTTCTATTCTTATTATTACATGTACATGTATATAAAAACCTATTACTGATTGAAAAACTTCAAGTAATTTTTTTTAATGTTAAAATTCGTTATTTAAAACAAAGTGTGCAGTTATGAAATAAAGACAAGTACAGGTGTGTGCATCTAATCTGCAGGTATTCTATTGAAAAAAAAAATGCTGGGTCGATCGTCATGATATATTGCCGATAATAAGTAAATTAAATTCTTGAATAAATTTATTGTTTATGGCAACATTGTTAATTAAGCGTTCACAATGTATACCGTATATTTATTTTTTCAGCAACCTTTGCGTTGTTTAAATCAGAGATCATCTAAATAATATAGTTATAGTTATCGGCATACTTTAACAACGACCCGCTTTCCTGGCGAAGCCGTGACTAAATGATTTTTATTAAACAGAAAACAAAATTATGAAAACAGTTCATGTTAAAATTATTGTTTATTTTGTTCTTCTTTAATTACTTTAAAATTGCATGTACCTTGTCTGCTTTGCGTACTTTACAACAGGGATAGTGTCAGCCAATTAGCCGCGCTTCACTGACCACACGCACCTGTGGCGGTATATCGAGATAATTGACACTTAAAAATGGACGTTTGTTGTGAAAACAGGGTGGCGGATGGCGGTATGCGAATTTGGCGTTATAAAGAGAATTTTATATAGCAGGAAAAACGTTCTTGGGAAATCATGGCGGTATTGCGAAAATGGCGATGAATCGAATGGCGATAATTCGAGAATTGACTGTATATTTGTTATGCATTTAGATTCATCGCATCTGAGGCTATAATGGATCGGATACCTTACCATCCTACCTGGGTCCACTGTTATAAAACATGCTTAACTCTGAGAATGCTCTCAATTCTGAGAATTTTCTCAAATCCAAACTTCTCAGACTCAGCGGCCGTCATAAAAAGGTTGAGAAAAATAAAAATACCTTAAACTCTTTTATTTTCAATTTCTCAGCTGAGATATTCTCAAGAGTTGAGTTGAGATTTTTTTTTGAGAATTCTCAAAGTTTTATGACGGTGGACCCTAGTCCTTGTTAAGCCCGCGGACACATAGGGCAAGGACTAGACTTCTCAACATTCCTCTTTCTTGAGCATTTATCTCCACTTCTCCTCCAGTTAGTTTGTGGTCCCTCATTTCCTTTCAACAGTCCTTTGCCAAGTGGTCTTTGGCTGACTAGGTTTCCTCTCCCCTTCCGGTGTCCATCTAAGGGCTATTTCGATCATTTTGTTGGCTGGTTTCCTTAACACATGTCCTATCCATCGCCATCTCCGTTTAGTCAACAAAGTTTGTGTATGTCTTCTGCGTTGCCCTTTCATGGAGTTCCACATTGGCAATTTCATTTGCCCAGAAAATCCTCATCATCTGTTGTGTAAACTAGAAAGTCTGCATATGTCTCCTTCTGTCATTCTCCAGCATTTTGACCCATAGAGTAGGACAGACAGGACGCAGTTGTTATACATTCTTTTTTTTTTGTCCTCCCACTTATGTTATTTGTTTTCCATATGTTCTTGAGGCTGATAAAGGCTCCCCTAGCTTTACTTAGTTAGGCCTTTATACCTTTGTCCGCACCCCATCTGATGTTATCTGCCAAGATAGGTAAATTTGTTTGTGTTACTCGGGTCATTTCCACCGACCTGTATTCATGCTGGTTGTTTAGTTTTTTTATGACATAACTTCAGTTTTCTTGATATTGATTTTAAGTCCAATTTTTTTCTACATTACTCTGTAATTTCGATGTTTTACTTTGCATGTGCTTTTCGGACACCATAAGTGAGCAGTAAAGAAAGAGGATCAGTAGAACCTTTACTCAAAACCCGCCAGCGTCTTTATGATTGAGGTTCTGACTCCAATATATAAGATATGAATGTTTAAATTCATTTTGGGTGCTGAAAATAATAAAAATATTCATATTTGCCATATGAATTTAAAGCATTTCCACCTTGGAAAGGGAGCTACATGTATCAATGGGTTAACGCTGGAATACATATTACAGTATTAAATCCCAGTTACTCGCATACACAGTTCTAATAAGAGTCTCACAAAGACAATGTTGTTACCTACTTTGTTTACTAGGAACAGTGCATATTTATCGCGTAATATATTTTATTCCTTTTCACAGATAGTTTATATAATTGTTCATCACTCGTTTAACGCAAGATTTGACATTTAATTCGTGTAATAAATTCTGGCAAATTGTCAAGGTCTTCTTTGTCGTGTATGGCTTTTTGCCTGGCGTAATCTTCCACGTATAATATTTTTTAATTATGACTAAAAAATTAAAAGTTTGAGGTGTTGTTTAAACGTTGCTAAAACATGGAACGGAAAAAGTTCCTTAACAGACATTAGACATTGGAAGCAGTGTTCTTTGTCTAATGCTGTTCATATCATGATTTATATCGTAAATGGGGTTAAATCATGTTTCCTTCGAATGTGTAGCATGTACATACATTGTCAATAAATTACACAGGTATTAGACCTTCATTTCAATTAATGCAATGCTATCAGAATGTTTGTTACGTCAGAGTTTTATACTCTCCACCTTACCTATGCAGTGATGTTAAAATACCACACTGTGTGATGTCATTATGTCAGTGTTTCGATCGCCAGGATACCTAATATGCAGTAAAGTTTAAAGTACCACAATTATGTTGCTGTCTCCAATTTGATTCAGTATCCAAGAGCATGCTCTAAGTATTATGAATTTCAACTCAACTAAGATGTTCTTTTGGGGTTTCATTTATCTCATGAAATGTCAGCAGATTTAAACTATCATTCGGTAGTGTTTCAGCTTACGTTTCTTACTCTATTTATATTATACTTATTTTGACAACAGCTTAATACATTTTTTGCTTGAACCAGACTATTGTACTGTCTTCTCCATTTTCATTAAATTGTTATGATTTTGAAAGAATGTCATTATACACGATACATTTTATTTTCTGTCTTTGCCTTTTTAGTCAGAGCATATTCCATGGAATATTATACTGAAAACTCAGTATGGCATTCAACCAAGCTTTTTATTATTGAAAACGACAAATCAACGAGACATATGGTGTTTGGAATTTTTTCGCGGTGTGGGTCTTCTGAAGGACTGTATAAAATCTACACATCTCACTCTTTCCGCCACGCGGAACATCGGAGTGAAAAAACTTTTTCATATTTAATGCATGATGCTGTAGAAGAAAATTTATTCGAACAATGTTTGGAAAGTATTGGTTGCAAGTACCAAGAAAACTTGGCTGTACCATTAAAGGATTTAAGCTCGTTTGACAGAGATAGAATAAGAGTATCTAATAATATACACAAATTTGAGGTAATGGTTAATTGTTACATCTATAGCCTTTTTTGGGGACGCTCAACGATATATATATCTCCAAAGTCTAGGGCAGAAAAAGATAAGTCCCTCAGTCGTTAAAGGATTTTTAAAATCTTTTGAAAAGGAAACTCCGATGGTTGTAAATTTTCTTTCACGATGCAAATTTTTGAAAGATTCAGAAATAGCTAAAGCTGTTACAGAAGAGATTCAAAGTGCATTCGTTCGTGTATTTCGAACAAAGATCAACATCCTCTTTGTCTACTGTGCTAAAAGCGCAAAAAATGAGATGCAAAATTTTTTGTGGCCAGATATTCTTGTTGTAGTAACTAGAGGAGTAAAGAAGGCGCCTTTCAAACGATTTTGTGGATTTGACGTAGTATTCAGAGATAACGACTTTTATCTATTTAGTGATGAATCAAAGAAGGTGTTGCATCACGAAACGTTGCTTAATAGCATAGACAGTTCAAAATTAATGAATTTACCCTTAGATAATGTATGCACACAGGACTTAATGAGAAAGCACAAAAATATAACATTAGTTTCCTTTTCCAGGGTTCGATCACAAAATTTTGAAAAATGTCATGAAATGCACAGAAAAGACTGTATTGTTATATACTGTTGGGTAAAAGGGTTTATTCCAGTGGGCGAAAAAGCCTTTCCTAAAAAGATAAAAAACATTGATGTTGATGTACGTGAAGGTGCATGCTTCTTTGCTGCTGATGAAAATTTCCTACAGATTGGAAGCAAAATTGGACGACGATATGGTTCCAGTCTTGGAACCTTAGGAGGTTTTGTGAACATAGATTCATCAACAATAGGATGTTTGACTTGTGCACACGTAGTCTGTCCACCTGCTGCTATACAGTCGGAAGATATCGTAAGATTTATCTCCAGCAATCTGATAGAAGTCGAAAATAAAAGTGATTCGGATGTTATAGGCACAGTAGAAAGAGCTGTTTTTAAACACAGTAACTCAAGAGAAGTTAGTGTTGATGCAGCCTTGGTTAAAATATCCCGACAACATCCAGAGAATGGAAGTTTCCTTCTGGAGATAAGCGATGCGCAATTATTGAGTGCAGGTAATTTAAGAAAACGCTAATTCACCTTTTCCACTCCCACATCTCTTGTACACTTATAAATAAATTTAAAAAATACAAATGCATATGATGCTACAGAGAGTGAGATATAGAGAGAGGTTATGTATTAAACTAAATGCACCGTAATACCTTTTTTATTTCTCAAATCTATTTCTTCAGGTTTTTCAGCTTACAATCGACCAGCCTTTACAAATGGGGCCATTATAAAAATTGATTCGACGAATTACAGACGCCCACTTTTAAAGTGTGGTGCAAGCAGTGGACTTACTGTCGGGTATGCACACTGTATAAACGTCCATGCTGCAATCATTAATGACAAAGAGATAGAATTTGAATTTGGAAATTTTAAAGTTCACGGCCAGATAGAAGTTCTGCCAGTTCAAAGACCAGACAAGGAGAACGAGGCTGCCAATAACAAGTTTGCAATTAACGGAGACTCGGGGTCCCTTGTATTCATGATTGAGGAGGACATGCCGCCAGTTCTTAAATGTGTTGGTATGGTAACTGCTGTAACTACATATGGATCTTGCTTGGTGACCCCAATAGATCATGTTCTTCTGGATTTAGGGCTTCCTCTGAATGCATTTTGCAAGTTCGGGAACGAAGATCAGTCTAGATCTGATGTTGAAATCAATGACACTATCGTTGAAAGGATAGTCCGAGATGTAACACAAGCAATTTCTACTAATTTTGATTCTACATTTCAGACAATAAATAGAAGATTAGATGCCCTCGAAGAAAGAAATTCGATGTAACATTGATTACATGCTAAACTTTATTTCTCACAAGATCATTTAAAAAAGGATTTCTTCCAAAAATCAAAACTGGTGGTAACAGAGCAGAACAGAGCTACATGTATATAAGGAGATATATATATATGTATCAATATATTTAATCCATTTTAGACCGATGTCTTTTCATAGTACTGTTTATAAGTTACAACTACTTCAACAGACTACGAGTAAAAATAACGTATATTTTGAAAAATATAACTTTTGAATAATTAATTTAGATAATAGACTTTGCTCGAATTATAAAACTTTCACAGACATAATATTCTATCAATAACACATAAAATAAGTACACTTCATATACAAATCAATGGATAAACAATCTATTGTCTCTTTCTTGTCCTTTAAAAAGGACATGTATATGCTTTGTTCAAGTGTTGCAAGTGGTAAGATGTGACGATGACGAGTTAAATATGAAAGGGGCTTATCAGGAGATTTCTCAGGAAACCGACCAATCACCTGCTGAGCCAAATTGGAGCCATAAAATTCAACACTTTATGTTCCAGGATTCCAGATATAGAATATACAAATCAATATTTTATACTGTGCAGAATAAAACTTCTATAAGTAGTTGCAATTTCCGTTATACACTTAGCAGTATATAATACCTTGCTCCTTACAATATAAAAAGCCAAAGTTTCCTGGTCAAATGAATAATTTAAAAATGAAATATAATATTGAGAGATAATGTGTCAATTTATAACTCTACATTGTCATTTTTTAATGAAAAATGGGACTTACGGAAAAAAATGTTTGAACCCAGTTTACATGTTTTTTTTAAATTTTGTTTAAAAACCAGACTTTTGAGTATTGTTAATTGTTTAATTTTTTTTATAAATGCATTTTATGATTAGTGAACAATTGATGAAGTGAATTCTTTTAAAGCAGCCTCCAATTTCTGACTTTTACATGTCATTTTTCTAGATGCTTCGATGCGACAATTTACTATAATTTTATATATTCTTTGACTTGTAAAATTCTAATGATACACTGTACGTAATTTGCCATAGTATTTTTGAATTTTATCAACATTATTACGCTTTGCATGTTCTAATTTTAAATTTAATTCACTTTGTGATATTTCAAAAAAAAAAAAAAAAATCGTTGAATTGTCTAGGATTTCTTATACATCAGGTTGCATTTCAGATCCTGTTCCTGTCCTGACATTTAAATAACCCGTTAATTTTTTTTTCACTTTTTAACATGGTTAAGTAAATTTTCAAAAACTTAAATGCATATTTCTTGCTAAATTTAGGACTTTCTGGAGGAACTCATTTTAATTCGACATGCTTGGGTGGATGTATGAATGTGTGTAGAAGTGTGAGAGAGAGGGTGTGTGTGTGTGTGTGTGTCTGTGAGGGTGAGAGAGAGAGAGGGTGTGTGTTTGTGAGGGTGAAAGAGAGAGAGAGGGTGTGAGGAAGGGTGTATGTGTAAAGAATCCGTTGGATACTGTTTGTTTATATTTATATGTAATACTGTTTATATGAACAAAGGATAATAAAAATAAAAAAAAAATTATTGAAGAATGATGAATGAGTTCATCATTCAAAAAAGCATTTTTGTATAAATATGGTTCTGGAATAATTTTTTTCGTTTTTAAGGTATACCGGTCCTCAGCCAGGAAGAAAAACTCCTTAGTTTTTAATTATATTCAAAAAGTCTTACACAGGGGAGACAAATTTATGTCGGATTATACAGGGTATCAGATTGCACAAGTGTCGGATTAGACAGTTTTCATATTTAAAGAAATTGTGGTTTATTTTAAAGTTACCAAAGATACCAATGTTGATCAACATGATATGAAATTATAAGTGATAGATGATGTTTTGCATTGTGGAATGATAGGGAAAATCTTTGTTCATTACCTATTGTAAAATGATCCAAATAAATAAAAGAAATTAAAGTATCTTATAGGTATAAACATTGTGCAATTTTTTTCAAAAGCCTTAATACTTATGAATTTAATTTCTATAATGTGTTTGTTGATCAAAGTGGAAGTGGAAAATGAATAGTGAGTGTTTTTATTTGCATTTCCTGAATATTTATTTGAGATTTGCCACTTTTCCCTATATAATATTATTAACTTTACAGAATTCAGAGACATTTTTGTGAACATTATATATAGTAACAGTTTCGAGATTGTAACTCTCCTGCGATAGAGGCGCAAAAAGTATCCATTTCAGCATGGAAGTCTACAGTTTGCTTATGTGTGCAAACGTGCATAAATAAATGAACGATGTCTATGGCTTTTAAAATTTATTTAATGTTATAAAAAGATAAATATGTTAATCAGTGATGCATTTTATGATTTTATCAAGCTCAACAGTGTATATTTATAAATCTACTTTCAATTATAGGGTACTTAAAAACGAAATAAACGTCGTGGTCTTTATAAAAGTAAAATATTTTCTTGATTGTACAAACATTCTCTAAAAAGTTAGTGGGTTTTTTTGAAGTTATAATAAGGGAAAAAATAAATGTGTCATTTAAATTGCCGACATGTAATGATCAGATTTATGTTTACCGTATTTATTAGAGGTCCATATATATCTCTTCCCTCGTCTGAAAAGTTTCACGTCCAGTCGTCCACTGAATTTTCTTTTTTGTTCCGATTTTTTTTTGCTTTAAAAAATGACACCTTTACTTTAATTCGGTTGTTCTCGAGTTGAACAGTGCATCCTTACAATTATATAGTTACGATAAACCAGTATATCGATGATGTGATATATCCAATAATAAATATCTGTCCCACCTGTTTGTTTACGCGGCAACCAAACTCCCCTCCTCAACGAAAGAGCGCACCAAGGGAGATAATCTCGGAACTATATCTGATTTTCAGAACCTAAGGAGCGGAGTACCTTAAATTGTTAATAAATGAATTTATATATTCATCGATCATAATATTTTGATTAAAGGTGAAGCGTCCCTGTTGCAAGAAGATTAATAAGTGAAAGATACACATTTAATGTGCGTAATTAACATATCACCTTAATGTACATTAATATGAAAATGAAAGTTGTTTCCTTCCCAACCAACCAACACTCTAACGCAATGTCTAAAGTACAATTAAAATCTTCATTATAATCAATATATACTAAATTGTTTCAACATGGGACCAATATTTATAAGACCAATACGCATTGCGCAGTATAGTTAAAGTGACAAATAGAAATATCAGTGATTTTTTAAAGATAAAAAAATATATACATAACTAGGGCTAATTGTAACGGGGACCGTTACAGATGTTCCCCAAACGCTCCCCAACTCCCTTTTGGTGCCATATTTCCTTAAGCTCTATTAAATAAGACATACTTTGTGCAATTTAGACTAAAACAACGTTTTCCCAGAAGACTACAAAATATATTTAAATTTTAGCATGACATGCGAGCTCATGTGAATGCATGTGGGTAATGATCATATCATCTTTTCTACACTATGTATATATATTCAAATAGACTTAATATCAAAGCATTTAATCCAGAAGTATTAAAAAATACACTTATTCAAGCATATTTTAATTTCACTCATTTCACGTGCACACACGTGCAAGCATGTGCATGATGACCATACCTTGTTGTAGAGGTCCATTATGTCAATCAATATTCTAAATACCATCCTATTTCGTTGAAAACCAAGGGAGTTATAACCATTTAAAGTTTAAGCCAATCAGATTTCAGCGCACGTGCATGCGTGTGATTTAATGACAATTGTTATATATCGTATTGTAGGATATCTTAATGCATGATTATGTTTTAAATTTCAAAGCATTTCGTAAAAAACGGAAAAGATATTGACATTTTTGTTTCAACCAATTAGAGTGAAGAACACGTGCACGCACGTGCATGACGACCATACCATCTTGTTGGAGTCTATTATGTCTGTCTATGTTCTAAATCCCATCCTGTTTGGTTGAAAAACAAGGGAGTTATAGCCATTTAAAGTTTAAGCCAATCAGATTGCAGCGCACGTGCATGCGCATGTTTTCAGGACAACTGTTATATATCATTTTGTAGGACATCCTAATGCATGACTATGTTTTAAATTTCAAAGCATTTCGTCAAAAATTGAAAAAGAAATTGCGATTTTTGTTTCAGCCAATCACAGCAAAGCACACGTGCACGCACGTGCATGCATGTGCATGACAATTACTCCACCTTGTAGGAGTCCATTATGTTTGTCTATGTTCTATATCCCATACTGATTGGTTGAAAAACAAAGGAGTTATAGCCATTTAAAATTAAAGCCAATCAGATTGCAGTGCACGTGCATGCGCGTGTTTACATGACAATTGTTATATATCATATTGTAGTACATCCTAAAGTATGCCTATGTTTTAAATTTTATAGCATTTCGTCAAAAAACAGCAAAGATATTGAGCTTTTTGTTTCAGCCAATCAGAGCGAAGCGCACGTGCATGCGCGTGAGTTCGTGCTAATTTGACAGTGTCACATTATCTACAGTATTAATATATCTTTATATGATGAGTTTCAAATCATTTCATCGAAAAATGTAAAAGTAATAGCTATATTAAGTATATTAGTCAATTCACTCATTTCACGCGCACGCACGTGCATGCGTATGCGCGCAAAATGACCTTCGTACCACACACCTACACTACACACCTATTAACCCTAAAAAGGTTTTAGGTCAGTTGGGTGAACAGTTTCTGAGAACACTCGCGGACAAAAAAAGTACCGGAGAAGAAATAAGAAAAAAAATAATAATAACTAGTGCTAATTGTAACGGGAACCGTTACAGATGTTCCCCAAACGCTCCCCAACTCCCTTTTGGTGCCATATTCCCTGTAAGCTTCATTAAAAAAGACAATCTATGCATTTTAGACTTTAACAACGTTTTCCCACAAGGATATCAATTATATTCAAATTTTAGCATCGCATGTAAATGCATGTGCGTTATGACCATATCATCTTGTCTACACTATATATATATATCGATATACTATATATTAAAGCATTCAGTCCAAGAGTATAAAAAAAAACACTCATTTAAGTGTATTTTTAATTTCACCTGTTCCCAATGCACGCACGTGCGTGCACGTGCATGATGAC